TAATGAAGAAAAGAGAAATGAAACTTTCTATGTTTTTTACCACTTTTATTTGTAACTAACGTTACTGCAGTTTCGTCACATACGGACATTTTCAAACTTATACAATGAACTAACAATGATTCATTACATTAGCCATTATATACCACCCCTGTAGGTACTAATAGAGGTACTTGGCTTGATTGAATACCTGAATTTACAGTTCACAATGCGGATCTGCCAATTTAAAAACCGGCGAGTAAACTAAATCGATTTGATCATTTAACAGTTGCACCCGCAATGTTTATGCTTGTGAATTTCCAAGATTTCTAAATAATTGAGTTTGTAACCCTTTCTTGCATACTGCAAAATTTCCGTATCGTTTAAATTCGGAAACTTGTGGTTGCATGCCAAAGAATGGTTTGAAAACGTCGAATCATTATTTCCTAGTCTGAAGGACCTTTCATGTTCACCATACCGTTTTTGTAAATTTCGACCACATTGTCCCACATAAACACTATTCCACTCCGGACACTTAAGATTATAAACTCCAGATTTCTCCAACTTGTCCACCTTATCTTTGGCATTGAAAATGAAATTCCATTCCGAATATTTCTTTCTGAGATTCAAATTCAGAGTGCAATTGCATTTTTGGAAAAGTTCTTCTAAAGATTTCGAACTGTTGATTCCGATTTCATCAAATTCAGGCTGATATTTTTCACTACAAGAAATTTTTTGCCATAGTGTGTGTGAGCAAAAGCTGAACTCCTATTATGTTTCGGAATTGACATGCCAACTTCAGCCTTTGATATGGTCTCATCCCAGTTATCTCCATCCTCTAGGTATACAGTGTCATCCGCATACGAATTATTAAGATTGCCGTGCTATGGTTTTACCACTTGTATTTGTAACTAACGTTACTGCAGTACAATTATTTAAAAAAAAAACAGCGGTAATACGAAAACATCCGAATGATGTATCACTTGACTCCCCATGATATTGCAAAAATTGACGTGTTCTTTGAAACTTTTAATCATACGCCCGTTTCTGAGTTATTTGTCGTCGTGGGATTGCCGTGAATCCGGAAGAACTTACTCTTTTGATTTATCCTTACTCTTTCCACTCCCAGTATCAGTTTTTTTGCTGCTAGACGTTTTTTTACTGGTACTGCTTTCAGATTTCAATTTCTTACTCTGAGACTTTACTAAAACAAAAAGAAATGGAATTATGTATTAATATGATCATATAAAAAGGTGGAAAATATACCTCTATGC